TGCTGCCTCAGGTTTCCTGTCCAGTGAGGTCGGCTCTTCTTCTTCAAGTCATGCCTCTATCGTCTCTTCTTCTAGACAGGCCATCGTCTTTACGTCAATTTTGGGTTTGCTTTCAGCCACTATCTCCTTGTGGCTGGTGCCCATATATTCTCGCATGACTTTCATCCTTGCTTTGATCACTTCCATTTCTGCAGCAATCTTTTCTTGCCAGGCCTTTCTATTGACCTCCATTTCTTCCTTGTCAGCCTTCCTATCGGCCGCCGCCTTCTCTTGGTTGGCGTCCAATTTTGCCAGCATGATGTCTGCTATTTATTGGTTGACATCTAATTTTGCCAGGAAATCTTCTTTGTCTGTCTCTCCATGGCCAGCAAAGCAGCGTGTGTCTTAGCCTGGTTGGCGGCCGTCTTTTTCAGTAGGAGTTCCAACATCTGCTGTGAGTCCACGTCTTTTTCGCATGTGCAAGTTCATAACCAAATTGTCACGCGTTGGGTATGTCATGCGACAAATAACTTCACGCCGTATTGGATATAGCGAATTTATTCCACTCACTCTCACAATTACACCACTACTGCTATCTGTAGTATCACACTTACTTCTGCTGCTGTAGGCACTTCCATTCACTCAATGAATGCTAGACTGGAACTGACTGGTTGCACTGACGAATACTCCTCGTTATGTAGCTACCACACTGACAACACAGAAAACAGTTACATGATCGCTTCACTGTTGTGTAACGTCATGTTTACAGGCATTGCTGGGGAACGCTGCCGAGAATTGTTTATTGTTGTGTAGCAACTGCGGTGTCCCGTTATGTCACTGTTGGAAGTGCTGTTACGTCACCGCAGGGGAGGGGAACGGGGTGTTGACTGGCACGTTACTGTGGCAGCAGCAGTTGCTCCAATGCTGTTATGTCACCGCTGGAAAGGGGGTGGAGGTGTTCTGCATAGCGCAAATACATCACAATATATATAGGGTGTCCCAGGAGGAATGGTCCGAACTTCGGGAGGGTGTTCCTTATGTTAAAGTATGCCGATATAACCCAAAACACCTATGTCCAAAGTTGAACGGTTACGGAGATAATGGCCCAAGAAGTGTCAAACTTTGACCGGTGTTACACACTTGTTGATTACAAAATACATATTAAAACTGGCAGGAATATGTGGGTTGTGTAATGTTAATAATGTATGTAACATCAAACTAACTTGTGAGTGACATGAAGCCATAAAATTGAAGTACAAAATACTCGCTCGCCATGTCATAATTGTCCTTAGGGTTTCCAAGCACTATACATGACACATGAATGGCAAGCGCTGACGTAACATGACTGACTGCGCATTCTGGTATAAGCCAACTACATAAGTACTAAAATACAGTACCTGCTTTATAGTAATTGTTCAAAGTGTCCTCTGCCAGCCCCATCATGTTGGAAGTACATTTGCCTCCTTATCGTTAACGGGATGTCTTCCAACAAACATGGTAACTCATTCCTCAGGAAGGCTCCATACGTGTTTCCAGTTAAATTGTTGTGAAACACAAAAGGTCCGATCAACCTGTTCCCAAGCACACCACACCATACATTCACAGAAAATCTCTT